GCCATCAGGTGATCGGGGGTTCTCCTGGCCGCATCATTAGTACCCACATGGACTAGGACCATGGGGTAGTAATTGGTGGCCTGGATTACTTCCGTCACATCCCAAATCTTTGCTCTGGGCAGGCAGTATACCTCTCGTGTTGAGGGGTCCTGGCAACAGATGGGCCCTTCCGTACCTCTCAGGATGGAGTCGCCTATGACGAGCACTCATCGCCTCCTCCTCTGGGTCCGCTTGGATCTCTTGACCTGTTCGGAGCGTGGAGAATGTGGTGTTGCTTCCTGCCCAAGGGTTTCCTCCTCTCCTTCCATCTCCTGCAGGGTCGCCAGGACCTCGTACTTGTTCTCCAGTCAGACTGGAGGAACTGGTACCTGTTCGCTGCGAGCAGCTCCGGTTCTGGATGTGACTGTCTGCCACTCTGCTGTGGAGGGCATTCCCTGGGCTGCTTCTTCCTTAGGTGCCTGGTCCTGTAGGGTCACAACTAGACAGTTCATTAAGACCAGATGGATTCAGGGAGGTCATCCCCAGGGATCTTGGTTCTCTCTGATTTAAAAATTCCCCAATTTTCAATTAAAATAAAGTAACAACAAATCCACATTTTGTGTGATTAAAATGAAACACCATTATATATATATATATTTGTGGTGTTTCATTTAAATCACAGACAAATGTGGATTTGGGGTTACATTTTTAACCGAAAATTGGGGATTTTTCTAAATCAGACAAAACCAGGATCCATGGGCATCACAAAATAAAAAGCAATATATCTTCCCACTAGCTCAAGCTCCTTAGCATTGAATCCCCCCAGCAGAAAGACCTTTTCTTCACCAGTAGTTAAATAATCACTAAGGATTTTATACTGTAGTCCCTTGGTCTCTTGCAATAATGTTAGTGGTAGTTAGGTGCAAATGCAGAGAAGAAAGTATTGTAACTCTCTGGGTTCTCAAAAGCTATATGCCAGCTAAAGGTGCCTAATACTGAAGAGATGCAAAAATGCTTGGACTGTAAATTACAGCATGGTCAGATAAATCTATATTTACATAATCTCAAGACACCAGTATCCATACACCAAGAGACAGCACTGCAAACTAAGCATTCTATTTCTCTCTCTCTTTTTTTGTAGTAAGGGTATGAAAAAGCTGAAAGAAGAGCAGCCCTCAAATCAGAAGAGAAGAGCTTATTCTGTGAATATCTAAATTATGCCTTTCCCTGTTCTGCTTCTTTTCTTGTTCTTAATGTGAAATTAATTCTGTTATAATTCAAAAGCATCATCATTTAAAGTAAGTCCCTGTCCTGACTAAGATATACCTATGGGAATTCTATATATCCTGTATCACTCCCCTCCTTGTGTCAGGAGATTGCTGCTCTTTGCTTGGGTATGTTAAGTTGCTATTGGAACAATTAATTTATTGTCTCTTTCTATTTAATTAACAATTTAATAAAATCTTCATTGAGAGGGGGGAAAAACATTTTCTCTGTCCCTTTTTTAGTTCCATTAGTTTATAATTTTGTTACATAATAATGGCTCTCCTGCCCACTCTATGCTTTATATATAGGAATGATGTAAGTTCTTGAAAATAGATGTGATGTTTGTAAATCCAGAGTCAAAGATGACAGCAGAGATCTATTATAAGCCTTACTTTGATCTCTTTCCTGTTTTTTATTAAGAGTAAATTATTCTTGTCACTCTTTTTGGTGACCAATATCACATGGATATAAAGTACACACTGATATGAAGAAAAATAATGAAAGAAGCTAAGACAAAAAACATTATGATAGGACAATGGACAAGATAACTATCATTAAGTATATTTGGACTGAGGAAAAACCTAGCAGATATATAGGTCCATTAGTAGAGGAAGAGAGTAATGTTAATTATGACGGAAAAAAGGTAGAATTGTTTATAAAGATTGTATTTAAGAAGCAGCACAGTGGTGTGTTTATGTCAGAGGAGGAGGATTATGCACTTTCCAGTCCATTAGTAACCAGGAAGAATGTTACACAAAACAAGGGGACAAATATTTTTACATCAGCAAGATAACTTGTACCCAAGAATCCTAGAATTGCTTCAGTTACAGCTCCCTAGCCTACTAATGTTAATTTTTAGTAAATCTTGGAATACCATAGACATTTTAGAAACCTGAAAGAATACTAGTGTCATACTAGTATTCCAAAAAGCTAATGAAAGGGGTAAGGTAATTAGAGACTAATTAGTCTAACCAATCAAAAAGCTGATAGGACTATAATTAATGCCAGTTAGCATGTCTCTACAGGAAAATAGATATTGTCAGGCAAACCTGATTTCATTCTTTGAGGATATTATAAGCTTAGTTGATGAATGCAGAGCTATGCTATCTAATTCTTGCCCTCTTGATGGGGTATATTTATTCTGCAGCAAATCAGTACCCTTCTCCCCACAGAGCTAGTTATCCCAGCTGCAATGAGTGCACTCAGTGTGATTGACCATTAGAAGAAACTAACTGGGGAAACAGTGGATTCCTCAGATCAGTCTGGGATGTTTTTCCAGAAGCTGTGCCTAAACCTAGTACAAGTTATCAGGCTCAGTAAAGTCAAAAGTCTGTCCAAAGCCAACAAGGTAAATGCATATCCATTTCTGCAGCTTTCTTTATTGCCCCAGCCTGGGCAATAAAATACCTATTTATAGCTGAAGACAGCTGTCAGCACAACTCTAAAGTAAAGCTTGGCCTATGCATCTGTAACTAGGACAAGGAGCCTTCATCACTATGCCACCACCACACACTAGCTATTTCATGACTGAGTATGGAAGCGTAACTAACTGGGTTTGTGCCCCGAGCAAATCCTGCTGGAGAACAAGAGTTCAGGGGAGGTACCTCTGAGCAAAGGAGGGGGAGAAGGAGGTGGGAGTCTTACCTCTTGCTCATAAAATGTCCGTGACTGCTGCTTCATGGTCTGCCTGCCACAGTTGTTTCTGCTACAGCAGAAGCACAGTGTCTGTTCAATCAGCTGCTGCTGCAACAGCAGTGAGGAGGTGCTGCTAATGAGTGTCCCTACTAAGTTGGCACCTGGAACTAAGTGACAGGCCAAGTTACATTACGAAGTGGGTGACATTCTGTGGATTGTGTTATGCAGGGGTAGAAGACCTAGGAAGATAACATAAGCCTCTTCTGGCCTTAAGCTTTATGGCCACATCCCCAGGGAACACCTGTACCACGTGCACTTTGGCGTGCGGCAAGTTACTCCAGGGGCAGTAGGAGAGGCTGTGACCAGCACTGTGCTGGTCCCAGCAGCCTTACCTGGGGTCCTAGAGGCCTCCTGGGATTGCAGCAGCGGTGATTCTGCTGGGTGGAGCCTGGCTGGCAGCCGCAACACGGCTCCAGGTGGCCCAGCTCCGCTATTCAGTGGCACATGATGCCCGTGCATGAGCTGCTCCATTTTTTTTCCATGAATTTTTTGGACCCCTGGATATCCAGGAGTAAAATAACCTGTGGAACAAAAACCCGAATCAGAGCATAAATGGGCAGGGCACCATTACAGCGTGGAGAATACCTGACTGTGCAGTATGTGGCACTGCAGATATGTTTGCGGTACCACACACCACATGACTGCACTCATATAGACATGCCCTATGGGCGCATCCACACATGCAAGCACATGTGCTTGCAGCAGCACAAATAGTAGCGGCACAAATTTTTGCTGGAGATTTGTGCCTCAGAACACATGCCTGAACATGCACTTTGGTTCAGGGCAAATTGTGCCACTTGGGGCACAGACCCTGCCTAGCTCCTCCCATAGCAGCCAGGGGGAGCTGAAGGCTGGGGCCAGCACCTGTGCTAGCCCCAGCAGTATAAAAAGCTGCCCCACCGAGCAGCTCAGGGCTACTTGCTCTCAGGAGCTTCTGAAGCCCGGCCAATTGACATATGGGGACACAAGCCCTCTGTGCCAGCCAGACTGCTGCAGCAGCCCTGACCTAGAATGGCCCCTGCACCCCCTACCCATTGCAGCAGTCTGGCTGTGACCTGCTGCCACCTGCAACATCATCTGCCCCCTTGGACCTGTAGCCCCATATCTGCATGCCTGCCAGATCTGGACGGAGACTGCACAGGCATCTGTGCTGTTGCATGGGCACGGCAGCAGAGCCATCTGTACCTATGGCCTAGCTGCCATTGGGCTCTGGCTGCACATTTGGCCTTCATGTGGCACTGCTGCCATGTGTGTCCTTGCCCTGCCATCCGGGCAGCTATCACTTGGAAAGTGTGCTCATTGTGGAGGCCCACTTTGAACTGTCAAAGCATATCCTCCTGACCCCAAAAGGCCAGGAGGTCAGCCACCTTGTTTGCCCTCCAGCTGGGTCCCTGGTGCCAGCCCTGAGCACTCTCCTCTGCCTGGGTCCCGCCACTTGCCTCAATAGCAGGAATCCTGATGTTCCCTGTTTAACAATTTCAAATTCTCTGGTAAAAAATCCCAAATTCACTCTTTAACATACACAAAAATCCATGTTCTTCCATAATTAAAATGAAACACCACTCGAGAGAGACAGAGATCAGTTGGGCAATGTTTTATTGATATATTTACAATTTTAAAGCAATTTGGAAGCCTACCAGTGTCTTTGTCATTATAATAAAATAAATTCTAAATATCTATATACTTTGGTGTTTGCATTTGGTTTTTTTATCATAGAAAAATTAGAGCTTCCCCAACCCCTTTGCTAACCAGGATGTGGGGACAGCTGCCCCTGCATCCACATCTCACACCAGCAGGTCCCATCCTGTCTGGTGGCTGGGCATGCAGGATGTGAGATGTGGGTAGGGTTTGCAGAAGGGGGGTGGGTGTGCAGTTGTTGTGTGGGTGTGGGTATTAGGGGATGTGGGGTTGCGGTTAGATGTATGGATTTGGGGGGGGTTGGGGAGGTTTGAGGGGGGACAACCACACCCCCCTTCCTCCCCTTCTACCCCTCCCATGGTGCATAGTACCTGGCACTGGCAGCAGCATCCAGGCACTCACAGTGTACTGTAGGCACAGCCCCGCAGTGGTGTGGCACCACCTAAGATCCAGGGGCTGCACACGATGAATGGAGCCAACCCGGGCTGGCCCACCAAACCATGCCTTGGACAGGACCAGGACAGCTTCTGCCACCACCCACAGCTCCCGGGTGCAGTGCCAGGAGCTGCAGGTGGTGGCAGGAGCCATCCTGGTCTTGTTTGAAGGTGCATACCAGTGGGCCAGGCCTGTCTGGCTCCATTCGTCGTGTGGAGAACCCAGGTTTCAGGCAATGCCATGCCACTGTGGGGCTGTGCCTACAGTGGGCCATGAGTGCCCCAATAGCCTGACTGGCTGCTGCTGCTAGCATCAGGGCATGTGTGCTGCAGGGAGGTGGGGGGTGGGCATGTGGCAGCTCCCCTCAAACCCACTTCAGAACCTCCACACCCACAACCCCCCCAAAGCCCATACACCCACCCACAAACCCCACATCCCCCTCACACTCCCCACACATCCACCCACGTGGCAGCAGGCTGGAGCAGCAGGGGCACGTAGCTAGAGCATCTCTTTGGAGGACCCAGCTTCCCAGAGAGCGTGCTGTGCTGCTTTTTTCCAGGGTGTTCTTTTTTGATACTGGGATTTCCCAGTTTCAAATTCAGAGTCTGCACTACAAATATGCAGCACGGGTAACATTTTTTCATTCATGGTGTGCCTCCTGCAGCATCTCAAACTGCTTTAAGACTCTGCAGTAGGCACGTGCTCACTCATCTGAACATGGCCTATGAGATTAAACAAACATCCCTTTCCATGGGACACCTTACCCAGCCATCTGGCTGTTTTCTAGGAATGTTATTTGGCCTATTAGTCAACTTCTTTAAACATCTTCCCAAGCTGTAGGCTGAAGAAATCACCCCCAGTAATAGTCACAGCCTCTTAGGGTTCCTACTATGCCAAGATCTTAGATACAGCCTCCATTCCTAAGCTGTTCTCCTTTAATTATCCTGTTATAGGCTTCATGTAATAGCAGAATGAATCTGTGATACCATTAAAGGCCAATATTCCCTCTTACAGTTCCTATCCTGGTCACCACATCTCAACTAAAGGCTGCAGGTTCCAAGCCACATGCCATCTTCCCCAGACCATGCCTCAGACATGTCCTTTATTCAACAACCAACATATAATTCACACTCTGCAAGGGTTTTGGACCAAGAGAATATCCAGGAAGTTTGTTAATCCAGTTTTGATATGTACTGCTAGAGAAGCAAAAAGAGGTGAGAACAGAAGCCAGAATCTAACCCTGACTGGACATGCTCAGAAACTTAACACATATTAGCAGACTCGACTCACTTCCCATCACGGTCTCCTTAAGGGATTATGACACAGTTACAGGTTAGATAACCCTGTTCCATAAAAGATCTCTTCAAGGAAATGGACATGTGAGGGAGCAGCAGACGAGTACTTCCTGGATGACCCAAGTGGGGCAGGGGAGAAGCTAGCTCTTCTGTCTACTTGTGAACTTTGTTCTCATACCCAGACCCCAAGCAGGGGTTACAACCTCAAAGATTGTGAACTGTGCCCAAACTATTGCCAGAAACCAAAGGAAACTACAAGGTGTGGATGCATGTGGGACCAAGCTGTGCTAGGAAGGGAGGCACTAGGATGGTGCCCTACCGTGCTCTTGTATTAACATGACTTTGTGTGCACAGTCACTCCAGCCTGAATGATTTGATTTCTATCCTGCTTAGCGCTGTTGGCACTTGCAGGATTTTAATACAGAATAAATTATTAAAAGGGTCTCTGGAAGCAAAGAGATGATCAAATAATGAGAACAACCTATGCTCATGTTCCCACTGTAAATAATAAAATCTAAAAGAGAAGATCTCCCTTGGGCCATCCAGGAAGTACTTGAAAAAATTGATTCATCTTAAATCTATCTTCTGGTAGTAATGTTGCAAAATGGAATATTTTTCCATTGCAATGTTTGAGGGGATCTTTCAAACTTAATTGCTTTTCATTGCAGAAGAGGCAACGTGCTGCAGACCATAATGATGTTGTTAACGACTCAGCAGGTTGAGCACTCTTTAGTCTAGGGAAATATCTGTTGTGGATAAAATGAGAGACTACACCCCCACACCACCTGCCCAGTCTTCACCCTAGGGCTACTATATTGCACCCAGTGACCTAAGGCCCAGAGAAGACACTCTGGCAGCCAGGAAAAGGTAGAATGCAGGGACACTCCAATCCTGCCCCATGTCCCCTGTCACTTCCCCAGTTACCAGTCAACTGCTGTAGCTGTAACAACATAGGGTAAAGTGAAGATTTTATGACCTTTTTCTTCTACAGTGTGCATCCAAAGAGGGAGCCCCATGCAATATGGTGAAACCTCACAACTCCCACACAGCAGGATTTTGTTAGGGCTGTATCTGGTGGTAATAACACAACACCCTTGCTCCACTGCTCCACACCTCCTCCTGTCATAGTTTTACCAGGCTCATGGCTTAGATTCCCACATGTAGGGTATGTCTACACATGGCCCTATGGTGACATTGTTACTGAGCCATGCTTTAGTCCTTCCTTTTGGAAGTGCTAAAGTATGGGGCAGTAACTGCCTGTGCTGCACTATACACATGGCACATGGTTATTTTTAGCCGCTACTTCACCATAGCTTTACAGGGGAGTGCGTCGCTTGCTACATCACTATAGCATGTCATTATGATGACATAGCACGAGATGTAGACGTGCCCTTAGATAATGAAACATTCATGCTGATAGTGAAAATTAACCAGTGCATAGAAAAAACAATATTTCAGGCAAATGATGAAGAGTGAGAAGAATCTATGTTCTTCGGAGGATTCTTGTCTTTCTTCCTGACACTGGGGAAGAAGCAGCTTTTTCTTCTATGGTTTTCTTCATGATGGCGTAACTGCAAAAAGACAAAATGTGCTTGGATCCTGCATTCTAGTCTAAACTATGTTGTACCTGGAACAGAGCTGCAGTGTGCTAGTACTCCACAATGCCCCCTGAGGATTCAACTTGTGGTAGCAGAAACCAAGGGCACTTAGTACTTGATTTAAAACCCACTGAGGCCAGTGCATGTCAACAGGCTTTGTATGAGGTTCTTGGGCCTAGTTTAGGCATTGCTTCATTCAGTGTTGTAATGCCTAACTGACTTAGGAGTCTCAGTTTCATTTTCAAAAGTGATGTAGGTACAGAGGCTCAGATCCCCAAAAGTATTTTGGCACCTAACTCCCATATAAATCAAAGTCTCTCCTCGAAACACAGTTTTTCTATGAAGCTCTGAACTTGTCTTCCAATACAATATGTATTTCTAAACACAAGCAGACAAAAAGCTATGGGACCATCAAGACCTAACATCCATACCTCTTTATATCTCTTTGCCCTGCAGCATTTGTTACCACTTTTTCTTTCAACTTTATTTAGGGACAGATTTTTAAATGGGCTCCAGAACAGATTTGCAATAGAGATCAGTTTGTGTTTAGATTGGTTTTCTCAAGTCCTCAGTATCCAGCAATTCCCAAGAAGGATTTGTCTACACTGTATGGCTAGCCCAGGTTGTCAACACTCAAGTGACCTGGAGTATTTGTAATTCCACAGCAAATCCTCATGTTTCTGTTTCCTTACGGTGTCTGCATTCTTCCACGTCTGGGATTATATCCCTTAATTTTTTTTGTGTCACAACACTTCAAGAGACCATTCCTGCCCTCAGGGAAGTGTGGGAAGTGTGGGAACACTTTAAGTACTTTATCCCAAGCTGAAATACAGTTGGGCTTTAACCCAACTGTGCAAGCAACATGACTCCAAAGCACAAATAAGCACAGATCTAAGGGTTTTGTGTGTTGATGTCGAGAAGGTAGGTTGAGCAACAACATATGTAGGAGCCTGGGCTAAGACTATCTTATACACATGCCCTTGTGGCCAGGTTTTCAAAAGTGCTCATAAGCCAGCTTGTTGAACTCTTGAAAACCTGTCTCATAGTTTTCACTTCTGCCCTGCATTCATCTGGACAACCCCAGCAGGGACTGGTATGTTGTAATTACTTGTTTAACTCTGACAGCCTTAGACTGAAAGGTCTTTGAGATAGGAATATTGACTTTTATTTGTCTGTAATGCACCATGCAAATTTATACTGCTGCATAGGTCAATAAATAATAGCGACTTATGCCCAGGCCTTCAGGGATATTTAGGCATATATGTTTCTTTGAAATCAAAGGGATTTGGACCTTAGCCCAAAGCTAACTAGTCTCTCACTTTTATTAATATTCCCCAGCGCCACTTCATGCTTGCAATAGTACTTACCAAAAGTGTAATTAATCATGAATCCATGAAACACCCAAACTATATCACTGTGAAATTCTACCAGCACAAAGTTCTCAGTCGAGGTAAATTCTGGGATCTTCATTGTCCCACAGTATGGGCCAACAGCAGGGGATGTGGGCTGGCTTCCATTGTGAATGACCAAGTAGTCATACCGGCATTCATCAATATCTTCCAACTCAAAGAAAACCACTTTTAGAAATATCTGTAAAAAATACAACAGAAACTTTGCCTACATCTTATAGCCTCTCCTCTACCCTTTGCCTGCCTTGCATATCTAAACTCTAAGAACTGTATCCTAATCTACCTACAAGATGAGTAAGTGGATTTAGGAACCAAAGTGCAATTCCATGCTGGAGTCCCAAAAAAAAAGATTAATGCAAAAAGTAAGTGGGTTCTCTTCCTCCTTGCTGCTTTTTAGTGATTTGGTCTTAGAGGCAAGGTGATGGTGCATTACAAAAGTAGGAGCATCCATAGATTTTTCAGGACTTGAACAAGGGGGCATTAGAATTGTGATAGGAACAGAATTCACCTCTAAATTCTTTGGTACAAAAGCTGTCTTTCACTGTGCTTGCCATGGTACCCTCTGAGTTAGGCTCTAGGTTTTACTACAACGCAAATTATTAGTAGTAATAGTATTTTGTGTTCGCTGAACTCAAAAGCCATTTGGACTGCAGGTGGCAGGGGGTGGGGAGGCACTCTTGAGGCATTTGGTTAATCTCCTGCATTACGGCAGGATTGAGTTTTAATTCAGCAGGGCAGCAAGTAGAACTGTATTATTTCCAGTTGCATGAGCTATATTATCTCCAGTTATTATATTATATCATTAATAATATAATTAATAATATAACAATATTATCTCCAGTTATTATTATATAAATATATTAAATATATTATTTCCAGTTACATGAACTATATTATCTCCAGTAGTCACGAGCTACCGCACAGTCAGCATCACAAAAAAACCATTCCTCAGTGTGACTGAGCAGTTACCTGTTACTTGTTTATACAAGTACTAAATGACTACACAGTAATGATTGCGCAGTCAGTGTCTCATGTAGATGCAGCCAGAATGTAGTAGAATAGTCCTTCTTAGAATCATAGAAAATGAGGGCTGGAAGAGACCTTAGGGGGTCACCTAGTCCAACCCCATGCTCAAAACAGGACCCTCCCCAACTATATCATCCCAGCTAAAGTTTTGTCTAACCAAGCCTTAAAAACCTCCAATAATAGATTCCACAACCTCTCTGGGTAACCTGTTTTTGTGCTTTACTACCCTCTTAAGTGGAAAAGTTTTTCCTAATATCTAACCTAACCTTCCCTTGCTACAACTTGAGACCACCACCCCACCCCACCCCACCCCACCCCAATCTTCTCTTCTCTAGACTAAATAAGCTGAGTAGTGCAAAGAGATAACTAGTCAATGACCATTACTGGATCCAGCAGCCTAGCCCTTAACCAAGTTATCAGGCTCAGTAAAGTCAAAAGACTGCTCAAAGCCAACAAGGTAAATGCAAAGCCAATATCCAGTTCTGTAGCTGCCTTTAATGCCCCAGCCTGTGCAATAAAACACCCATTTAATGAGCATTGCTGGAGCCAACAAACTAGCCCACCCATACCTCACCTGGTATCCTGGAGGTGCACCGACAATCCAAAAACAGTCCTGGTTTTTTGGATATTTGTTGGGGTAGTTTGGAGAAGTAATGACCCCATATGCATTTGTAAAAGTACCTCCACATTTCACTAAGGGAAAAAGAAAGAGATCCATACAGAGATAATGTCAAGATAATATATTGAGAGCAAGAAGAAACACAACTATTTATATT